GCAACCTCGTATACATGCAAAGACCAGTCTAGCTTTGATGTTAAGTGCAAACCCAGATGTTTGTGCCGGTCGACGTAGCGGATAACATTTCCATTCAATAATAGCTGAGGACGTGCAGAAACTTTGCTGAAAAACATAGCCACACACTTTTTTAAATTCAAGGGTAACTGCCAAAATTCGGTCCACTCTAAGACGTCTTTTAAATCTTGATTTAAAATATTTTCACTTATTAAAAGTTAGAAGGTTATTTGTTGTTTTTAATGTATTGCAGAACAAAGAGAGTTTAGACTTATAACAGGCCGGATGTGACGTAAATGTTTTAAATAATAAACGATAAATCTGACGGTTTGCCGAATCGTCAGCGAATCGACTTTTAATTGTTCATGCTCATTAGACCAGAGCCATATTTGAGTCTTCTCTTCATGATTTTCTAGAAAGACTCTGAAGACTTTCAAAAATATATTCGGTAGATAGCTATAGTTTTCCAAATGTGTATCCTACTATTTTCTTGGTTTTTTATCTTAGTTCAAAAGTAAAATACTTGGCAAGAGTAAAAAATCTATATCAATATTCTTGTCCAGAATTTTCTGACATGTACTTCTATAGGTTTTCTTTCTTAAAATTCTACTTTTTAAAAATAAAAAATTGAAAACTTGTATTTTTCAACTTAAAAATAGAGTTTTGCGAATTTTCAAAAATCTCTCGTTCATATGCCAGATAATACATTCTGAATAACTATTTTACCCATACTTTTGTTTTAAAATACTTCGTTCGAGGAAAATTTGCTTCAAGACTTGTTTCACAACGCTTTTAAAAATTCCATTGGAAACGTAAAACTTAAATTCCTTTCAACCTTCATCCGAAAACGATGGAACTTTTTTGTATAGACAGTTTGGTGTCTTTAATTTAAAAGTTTTTTTTTAAGTTTAAGAATTTGAAAAATTTTAGAATACATATTTCAAGTATTCTCTATAAACTGGGTAAAAGTATCGGGTTTGAGCCTGCTCAAGAAAAACTCGAATGAATCTTACAATTTTTTACAGAAAAAATATTCAATTCTTAATCGTTCTTATTTTAAGTTATTCTATGAAGATTCTACAAAAAAGAAAACTTGACTTGGGATAGAATTGTTAATCATTTTATTCACAAAAATTCTTAACTACAGCAAACATTAAATAACGTGAAAACGTAAAAGAAAACTCATATCGGATATTATTCCATATTTTCAAAAATTCTTTATACTGGTCCTCGTCACACCTGTGCCGTTAGACCAAGGGGAAAAAAAACAACACTATACTACACTACACTTTTTCCACTACGGTAGTGGCCTTGTAGTGTGACTTTTTCGCGGTCACGCGGATGTAGTGGATTCATGGTGTATGTGCAGTGAATGTGTAGTGAGATATAGTGGAAGCGTGGGGGTGTGTAGAGAGATGTAGTGTAGATATGCCATCGGTCAACAAAATCTTGACCGGTACCGGCTGATCACCAGTGATCGGCGAACATGTGTAGACTGGACCAGATCGATCATTTTTTAAAAATTAGGACCGGTAAGTGATCGGTGTTTTTTGCTTTCTGTTCGATGTAAATATGCATTTTGCTGTCATATTTTCTAGTTATAAGCCAAGTCGACCTAGTCCGGTCTAACAGTTTGACCAGAACCGGCCAATTCGACTGGTTGATAAGTCTCGGCCGGACCGTGTCGTGAAGTGTTGTTTTTTCCCCTTACGTTAGACTGTTGGTACCGGTTCTGTTTCTAAACAGTCAAAGGAGAACGCTCATGAAGGCTTTCGACGTTCTTACTCTAAAAAAACTTTTAGAACCAAAACATTCAGAAAATATAAAAAGTTATTGTATTTATGGAAAAAGATATATGAAATTTCATAGCCTAATTTTTTTTCACATAACATATAAGAATTACAAAAAATACATTCACCTAGAATAATTAGCTTTACACTCAAAAATCATCGTTTAGATCTTAATAGAAAATCCATAATATTATATTTCTTTTCTTCTAATTTCCAGTTGAATCTCTTCTGAACCTTCTGGAAACAATAAACAAATATCTTCTACTCGTATATTTGAATCACTAAGTTCGATTTGATCTTCATCCATGACCACTAATTCTGTTTGTGTATCCTTAATATGAAATTTCTCTAAAGCTTGTTGATGTAATTGTAATACTGTTGTATCCAAATGACAAGGTAATTTAATTGATTTCATTTCATATTTAATTAAACAGTTCATTTTGGCTGTACAAACTAATTGAAATATAAATTCTTTAGCATCGTCATCAATTTGTTCTAAACTTAATGTGGCGTCCACTTCGGATCCATCATATTCTAATGCATAAAATTCCACATTTTCTTTAAATAATAGACAACTTATTTGACATAAACGTTCACATGTGATTGAGTGTGAACAATTAAATTGAATGCATTCTGCATGAATATTTATAATTTTAATAACTACTGGTAAATTTCTATTAACCAGTGTGAATTGTATTGTTGTTGACGGCGATGGTAAAAATGATGATAATTGTAGCTCTTTAGACGGTATAAAATCATTTGAATATAACAGATATTGTTCATTTTTAATTTGACATTGTTTATAGACATCTGATATTGTTGAATTAATTAAAAAACGTTTATAATTTTTACTTAATTTTTCAACTGAAACTAAACATGTTTCATCTTCTTTAACAAGTAAAAATTTTGTTTCACATAAATTTGAAACAATTTCTTGATTATTTTCAATTATTTGATGTGTATTCATCGTTGTCAAATATTTATATTCATTACTTGTTGCTGTTGTTGTCATAGAAAATTTTGTTAATAATTCTGTAATTGTTATATTTCTATTGGATATTGGTACTTCAACAGTTTGGTTATCATCAAGTTTTGTCAATTTTATTAATGTTGAGATCTGAAAATGTGTTGGTATTTTATCATCAAATCTTTTATCACCAACAGGTTGTTTTATATTATCTTGTGACAATATTTTTTGTTTTTTATCACTATTTTCAATTAATAGAACACAATCATCAATAGATATATTTAAATTTAAAGATTTTATTATTTGTTCGTTCTTACTTAATAAATCATAAATTATTGATGATTTTAATGTTTGAATAGAATAAATATTTGTTTCATAACCAAAACTAATTTTTATTGTATCGTCAGCATTAATACCATCAATTGTTATTATTGATGCTTCTTGTTGTTGTTTTTCATAATTTTGTTGTTTGAATACTTCGGAAATTGTTTGGCTATCATCGATAATACATGTTTGAATATTATTCCACAAATAAAACTTATTGACCTTCATATTAGTTATTTGTTCAAATGTTTTTAACCATGAGTAGATCTGTTGCCATTTTGTTGTTGGATGAAATAATGCCGGAAAATCTTTTTTTTCTAGAAGAAGAATAAAAATAAATAATGTCTAAATAAGTACAAGATTTGACTGTCATTTTTTACCTATATGAAGATTAATTTGACATAAATTATTATGTTCTTCTTCAATAATTTTTATTCGAATTTCATCATCACTTGTACGGTAGAGATCATTAACAGAACAATAATTAATACATTTTCCAAGTCCATCAATAAAACAGAGTATAGTTGTTGTTCTCATATCTGTTGTATCATCAATTAAACGATCAATTACTTTATCAATTTCAACATTCTTTGTCGTTAAATATTTTATTGTTGTTGTTTCATTAAATTGAAAATAAATATTGATTAACGATGATTTTTCAATAATTTTATATTCTAATGATACTGGTTTATTATTGTTATTCTTATTTATACTTTCATTTATATCAACATAAATTTGATTTTGTTTCTCAATGACAGCATATTTATCTGAATTAACTAATTTTCTTAATTGTTCATGTAAATTATCTGGTAACCAATAATATGTTTTTTCTGTACCATTATAATGTTGGATTATAAATTTTTGTGCTTTTATCGATGGCACTGCTGCAGCTGCTGATGCTGTAGAGGTCAGAGCCTGTTGCCGTTTTTCATGGATAATCCTAATAAGTTTCGATGATAATAATGGAACAGGTTTTAAATTTAATTTGAATAAAGTTTTATGAATCGTACATGAGTCAATCTTATCAACTTCACTAGGAAAATTTAATATGTTTTCGTTACTGGGATTCTCATCGTAGTGTGATGTTGTAGACTGTGAAATTTCTTCTTTTTCTTCTTCTTTTTGTTCATTAGTCATTGAAACTTTACCGAGAAATTCATCAAGAAAATTTAATGTGTTTTCGTTACCGGGATTCTCATCGTAGTGTGATGTTGTAGACTGTGAAATTTCTTCTTTTTCTTCTTCTTTTTGTTCATTAGTCGTTGAAACTTTACCGAAAAAGTCACCAAGAAAATTTAATATGTTTTCGTTACTGGGAGCCTCATCGTAGTGTGATGTTGTAGACTGTGAAATTTCTTCTTTTTCTCCTTGTTTTTCACTGATCAAATAGTTTTGAAAACAACTTTCATCAATTTGTTGTGTTTGATTTTCACTCCATAATATTGTTTGTTTTACATCAATATTAATAGCTAATTCTTGTAACTTTGAACGTAATTGAAGTAAACTTATACTAACAGATAAATAATTTTCACATTTTATCTCCTCCGGTATCAATGATAGAATAGGAGAATCATAACCCATAAGTTGACATGTTTCTGTTAATGAACGTGTTGATTCTTGTAATAAAACTTTTTCAATTATTTTTAAATCATTTAATAATTGTGTTATTGTTTTTATTGTTGATTGAATTTCATCCGTACTACTACCATGATCAAGATTGTCAAATATTACATTAAGTATTTGATTTAGTTCATTGTTTAATACATTGTCAATCGGTGAACGAAGTAATTGTGGTATATCAATAAATAAATGTTCAAAACTACTAATAGAACTTTTATACAATTCTCGTACATGATCAATATAACATAATTGAAAATCTTTAATTTCATATTCTTTTAATTGTTTATGAAGATCAGATAGATTTTCATTATTAATAAAATCATATAAATATGTTTGTGATAAATCATTTTCATTCATATTTTTTAATATCAATGATATGTGATTAAGTAGATTATAACTACAATATAATTTATCTAACATTGTATCATTTAAATGTGACCATTCTATTTCTAATTGCTGTTGATTAAATTTTAAAGAATAATTATCACCAGTATTATCAAATAATTCCATATTATCTGTTGTAGATGTTAATTTTTTTCGTATATGACATTGATATTTATTATGTATATGTTCATAGCTAATACGACTAAATAATAAATATGTTCGTATAATATATGATTGTATATAAAGAAAATCAAAATTTAATTCTGTATCCATTTTTTGAAAATATTCATCATTACTATCTTTAGTTATTAAACTTGTTTGTACTATTTGTTCAATTAATAAACAATCATTTTCATTTAACATAATAATACCATTTCTATCATTTGCTATTTGTAATATTGATACTCTTTTTGATATTAAATCATTAATTAAATTTTTGAATACTGGTGTAATTGAATAGTTGTCATCATCATTCAATTCTTTTTCAATTAAATCTAATAAACTATTGTGATAATCAACAAGAACACTAGAAAATAAATAAAAAAAAACATTTTTTCTATATATAATTTAATATTCATAAAATATTTGAAGAAAAAAAAAACAGTTTCAATTGAGCGTTTTTAACAAAACTGATCAACTGACTAACCACTATGATGTAGTGTGTGTGGAGAATACTATTTTTATTATAAAATATATTTTGCCGAATCACATAATTTTATCCATTCAATAACCTTGTAGATCAGAAGAGAGTAGAATAGGATCATCAAACCTTGAGAAAAAAAACACATTCACTTTTTCGGGAAGAAAAATTTGTTAACTTACTTTTCCATCACACAGTCAGTATGAAGACATATTCCGATCGGGATATCATTTTTTACAGAAAATTTTTTTTATATCTCGAACGGGATATAGTTTGAAATTATATACTGATGAGGATATAATTCGATATCCCGGTTGAGATATCAAAAAAGTCTATATCCCTATAAAAGATCAACTGCCTATTTCTCGATCGTATATAAATTCGACTAAAATTTGTTAAAAATTTGTTTTTTTCACACTTTTGATAAAATACAGCAGAATTCGATATAGTTTTACGCACCTTTTCTAATGGTGACGTCAATTTTACCCCAAAACGTCGTCATTTTTGCTTTAAGGGTCGCCTCCCCTCAGAAATTATCTCCTACACCGTGCATCCGATCTTGACGAAATTTTCCATAAATGTTCGGCATAATGAGTTACTGGAATGAAAAAACTTTTTTGTCTCCAAGTCTTAAGGTTTAGGAGTTTTCCAGAGATCAAGGTCCAAAAAGGACCCTGAACGGCGTCCCAAGATTTTTTAATATACTTCAAGCTGGAGAGTTCGGGTTTGTTTTATTTTAAACTAGACACCTAACTACATCGACTGACCGGCGCCGATTTTTCAATTAAGCCTTTATTGGTTTTCCAGGCAACCAACAACCTGCGAAACCCGAAAAAGCCTTCCGGATTTTCTAAAAATCCTCAGTTTCACAAAAAACTAACACCTAATTCAAAAATCGACGCCGGTCAGTCGATGTATTTTTTTTCCTCTTTTAAACAAAAAAAGACTGAACTCTCTACGACAAACCGCTATTAAAAATCTTGGGGTGCCCCTTAATCGTTTTTACGCCGAAATTTCGCGTCTTATATCCTGATCGGGATATTAATTTTTTTATATATTCTGATCGGGATATATATCCCGATCAGGATATAGGAGATGTCCCCTTACTGACAGCAGAAACACAAAGTCATCTATTCTACTTCTTGAAACTCATCTTTCGAGTCAGTTTCTCTTACAATGGCTTCTCTCCGAAAACGCAGTCCTTTATCGACTAGTATGATGGGAGAAAGCATGGAAAAAACTTCGATAAAAATTATTTTATTATTTCTTTTACGTATCAAAACAGAGGCTTCGGTTGTTTTATAAGTAAACAAAGAAAGTTTCTGGAGATCTGCATTGTTTACTGTTCGATAGAAAAAATGTAAAGAAATCACTCTAGAAAAATTTCATCAACAGGCAGTATATCTGACAGACTCTTTTTGATTCGATTGTCAGTCTCACAACTCAAACTTTATGGTTGTAAAATTCAGTAAAAGAAGTTCCTCAATCGATCTAAGCAAGTTTAAAGTCCCTATCTATCATGGTTTCGCAGATGGTGCAAATAAGTATAAAAAACCTATAAAGCGACATTCAATTTTTTTTATGTTCTGTGGACTATTTTGTTAGAAAAGATCAATAGGATGCTAATCTGAAAGTCTAAACAAAGTTATTCTATTGCTAGGCTTTCAGAATAGCACCCTATTGAATGCAATGAGATGTTTTTGACTGACAATTGAATCACAAAGAATCTGGCAGACATACTGCCTGTATATGAAATTTTTCTAGAGTGGGAGAAAGCATTTAGATTTGGCCCATACTCCATCAGTTTATGGAGAACAGTTTAAAATCTATATCCTACAATTTTCTCAACTTACGGACTTGTAGTTTTTGAGAAAACAGCTTTCTAAGTCTCTTCCGCTTTTTTGGCTCCGTTTTGAAAGTTACATTAAATTTCCGAATTTCAATTTGAAGTCCCGGTTCTTGTGCCATTCGATAGAGTACATCAGCTTATATATGCACAAAAAAGATTCATCATTCCCGGACTAGTTTTGACTGAGAAATTTAGTTTTCACCTCGACAACGAGATTTTAGCTCAAAAAGCGCCCTTTTCCGAGTTCTGCCTGCAGCCTCTCTTCTGGAAAGCATTTCGAAGCAAACATATGCGTGACAAAATTATTCAGTATGGGATAAAGCCTACCCAACGATTAATTCCTTAGGCTCAATTTTTAAATGCGAAAATACAAAAGCCGTCTAATCATTCAAGAAAGGGTCCAAGTTGCGCCCTTATCTTAACTTTTCCGCTGAACTTCCTAAAAGTGACCGGGAGTCCTAAACGTCAGTGGACATAGACAGTCTGATATGCTAATCTAATGGTAACGTCAAGAAGCGAAAAAAACGGAGTTTTCTACGACAGGTATTTCAGAGACGTTGGGGTTGAAATTGTTAAGAAGTATAAACTAAATCTTATATCAGCAGTCATCTTTCAATATACACATTCTTATCGTCACTCGATGGTTATTTTCCCTTTCTGTTCTTCTGATATATGTGTTCACTCTTCTGCTTTTTATGATATGTATTTTCTCTCTTTCTGTTCACTCCTTTCTCATGGGTATTTTTCATTCCTATTCTTCTCTCTCGCTCACTCTCTCTCTCTTGTACAGTATGTGTTTTTCCCAGTTTTCCTAAGAGATCTTTCTGTAGCAAAAATATACTATATATAGTTGTTAATTTGCTGAAATAAAACATGTGTAACAATTACATTCTTCCTTGGCTTTTAACCATTTGATGCAAAACGATTCCGACAGGAATAACCTCCCATTGGTGCACTAGTCAACTGTTTGTCAATTCAACGTCACCAACAATATTCTTTTGTAATAAATCACTTAAAGCGACAAGCTGGTAAGTACAAGGAACACGACGGATCAGTAAGCGCAGGCGAATCTCAAACAATACGAAGAGAGAAAAGAAGAGAAACGATTACATCAGCAACAGAAACAACAACTAGATAATATGACATCCAACTTAACCAGTCAAATCTTACTAAAAGGGGTCCAAGAAGTGGAAAAATTTACAGGTCTAGACGAACAAGATCCAGTAACATGGCTACAAGCTATCGAAGAATTGTTCGAGACCACTAAGACCGACAAGAACGATCGACGAAGATTTCTACCAATGTATTTTGGTGCTGATGTGAAGAAATGGTATCGTAGTGGAGAGCATACGAATGATTATGATGAATTTAAGAAACAATTCATCGGCACATTTTCATCATCGACACAGAAACTAAAGATTTCATTGAAATTAATCAATCGGCGACAAGAAAATACCGAATCGATACAGTCGTACTACTATGATGTATTGTCATTGTGTACACGATTCAATCCGGACATGCAGGATGAAGAAAAGATGGTGTACCTACTACGTGGCTTGAAGCCGTCGATACAGCAGCGCGTAATAATTAATAATCCAAAACAATGTGAAGATCTGCCGGAACAAGCAAAACGGGTAGAAGCAGCAGCCGCAATCACACAACTAGAACCACCAGTTGCGACCACAACAACAACAGATTCCATCGAAGAAACGACAGCGGCTCTCCGTCGAATGACAATTAATTCGGACAATCGTCAAAATGACTCCCAAGCAAAAAAATGCCTTTGAGATTATCTAGCTATAAAAATATGTTATCGGGCAATATCGGCTTGTGATAGCTAGCTATCCGTACCACTTTTATTGAGTTAGCTAGCTATATCGAGTATGATA